AATGCCGCAAGAAGCCGTTGAAAATCATATTTAAATCAGTTAAGACTGTAAACTATCTGAGATAAAGAAGACACATAAAGATTACACTACGATTTTACACAATTGGTTCCAGATCAAGCAACTGGATGACAAGATCTCACAAGATCATATTTCTGATCTTCTCTCATCTGATAACATCAGCTGGATATCGTACGAGAAATTTTCGTCTCTGGAATCTTACATTAGATCCCATTATAAGATTCTTGAAAAATCTTGATGTCTTGTAAGATACCACTGTAACGATTTCTGATGTAATAGATACCACTTAAGAGCTACTCTAAGTATATTCTATTGGTATAACAAGAAAACGCCCATATGCTATATTTTTCTCGTTTCTTACATACTGCTTCATACATACAGAACGACCCTGAAAAATACTGTGAACACAATAACAGAAAAATACGAGAAGAACAAAGGTTAGAACACAGTTATGGATCACGCTATGTACAAGAGGAGAACATACCAAGCATGTCATTCCAAAGTACATAAACAGAACGAAAAACGATATTATGGTTATTCTTTTTACGGATAACATTACGTACGAGAGAAGGACAAACCAATGGTCTAGTTCCAAAGTACATATAGGAGAAGAACGAGGTAAAGAAATTTCAATCGAGGATAGAGGATAGATTATATATGAAGTCGGAGTATTACAACCACTATAACATTATAATAAAACTTATGTGCCTGTAAGATCTTTCAAGAACTTTATTATGAAATTTAATATAAGATTTTAGAGACAATGATTTCTCGTAAGATTTTCATAAGATTTCGTCTGGTCTGCAAGATCTTACATCTGATTTTTTGACCTGAGATGCATTAAATGATGAGATGTAAAAATCGTACAAGGTTGTATAGAATTTTCACAAATATTTGTATCATCAATGGAAAATAATATAATATATTCCTATATAATTTTCGAAGGATCGTACTTGATCTTATAGAAAACAGGAATGAGAGTATGTATATATATAACTACGTAAAACTAAAACCAAACCTATTCTTATTGTAACAGAGGTATGTATGTATATATGTAACTATGTCAAACTAACAGTAAATCTATTCCTTTTCTAACAGTAATAAGTATATATGTAACTGTGTCGAATTAACACTTCATCTGTTCCTCTTCTAACAGGGTATCTCTATATGTATATAAGCACGCAAAACCAAAACTAAATCTATTTATATTCTAACGGTAATAAGTATATATGTAACTATGTCGAATTAACACTTCATCTATTCCTCTTCTAACAAGGTATCTGTATATGTATATAAGCATGCAAAACTAAAACTAAATCTATTCGTACTCTAACAGGGCGTTTATATATATAACTATGTCAAACTAACACTATACCAGTTGCTATTCTAACAGGATATGTATATATGTATATATGGGGTTGTCCAATCTGGTCGGAGGTCCCATTAATATATTTTTGTATTGTAAGGACAAAACATACTATTATTCGGATCATATGAGAGAGAATCATAGATAATCCCTGGCTTGGCCTGAGCAACACTATGTTTTATCCTTACAATAGTAGAGAAAAGCTATCAAAGAATAAAACACGGTGTTGCTCGGATCAATCCAGGGATTATCTAGGATCCTCTCTCATATGATCCGAACACTAGTATGTTTTATCCTTACAATAGAAAAAAATAATAATGAGGCCTCCGACCAGACTATATATATATAACTGCATGATACTAACAGTAAATATAATCCTCTTCTAACAGGGTATGTATATATGTAACTATATAATACTGATACTAAATCTATTCCTATTCTAACATAGGTATGTATATATGTATATGTATAGTATCTAGAATAATTATTTCGACATTTTGTAATACATATTTTGTAAAGTAAAATTCACAACAAAGAAACAACATATTTCCAACTTTTTTTATATCATTCGATAGATCAAAGTCTTTATTCTTCTCAATAATTTTTTTTTTAAGTTTTGAAGATTTTTCAGCAAACCACTTGCTTTCCTAACCAAAAAAAGGTTATTTACATATCTGTAGTTTTATTTTCATTACGCCTTTATTTTATATAAAAATATTCCGAGTAATATATCATTCGAAAGAGGAGAAAAAACTGAATCGAATCATGTCCTTGATTTTCAATAATAATTAAATAAAAGTGATACTAAATGCTAATTATAATTAATCTATTATATAGATCTTTCTTTAATCTCGATTTTTAGAGAGAGAAATTAGACTGAAACTCTTTTTGAAAGACAAAGACTTATAGAGAATTAAATCCTCTAGAAAATGATATGCTCGAGTATAGGATGAATATTTTTTCTAAATGAAATAAGGCTTTATCTTTTCAAGTACAATTTTCAGTACAGGCAAGAATTTTTTTTTTTCGTTGTTTCCCTACGCATATACATATATATACGTGTACCTATGTATATATATAACGACAGAATGGAAATTTTTTTTTCTGTGCTGGAAATTGTACTTGAAAAGATAAAGCCTTATTTCATCCAGGAAAAACACTTATCCTATATTCAAACATATCATTTTGTAAATGATGTGATTCTCTATAAGTCTTTGTCTTTCAAAAAAAATTTCAGCCTGATTTTTCTTTCTAAAAATCGAGATTAAAGAAAGATCTATATAATAGATTAATTATAATTAGCATCTAAGTACAACTTCTATTTAATCATTATTGAAAATCAAGGACATGATTCGATTCAGTTTTTTCTCCTCTATCGAATGATATATTACTCGAAATATTTTTATATAAAATAAAGACATAATGAAAAGAAAATTACAGATATGTAAATAACTTTTTTTTGGTTAGGAAAACAAGTAGTTTATTGAAAAATCTTCAAAACTTAGAAAAAAAAAATTTATTGAGAAAAATAAGGACTTTGATCTATCGAATGATACAAAAAAAAGTTGGAAATATGTTGTTTCTTCATTGTGAATTTTACTTTACAAAATATGCATAACAAAATGTGGAAATAATTATTCTAGATACTGCGTATGTAATTTAGAACGGTGAATAAATCTATATTTTATCTATGAATAGCGGCAGAAGGGAATGTTTGGAAATGTTCATTTTTATTCGAACTCGAATTAGGCAGCTACTCCGTCTCATCAAAAAAAAAAGCCAATTTTTGTCAGAAACTCCGAAATTGAGATTCATGTATGGAAGGGTGGTCCGTCTTCAGATCTTCCAGAAATGTTATGGTTTTTCATCCGACATATCTGTTTCGTCCACAACTTTTGATGATTTTTATTATCTTCTGATTGTAAAACAGATTTTCTTTGTCAATGGATGCTTTTTAAACCGTGCATCCCAAATTTCTTTTTCAGCACTCATACGATATATTTAGTAATTTTTTTGTTTTTGAAAGAACATGTAAAGATGTAATACATGACCGAGCCTTCTTTTAAATTAAGATTTGTTTTTATTACATATATAGACATTTATATAATCACACACCCATTTTTTTTTGAGGTATTGATCTTGTAATTCTTTTTCTCTGCTAAAAAAGTAATTTCAAACACAAAGGAATTTGAATATATCAAACGAGTTTGGATCAAGAAATTTAGTTTGGCAAATGAGCTATTTTTTATCCTTGTTTGTCTTATATGTTCTGCAAACGTCATAGTTTAGGGCTGAAAATTTTACCATAGCTTCTCCACTACAGCCCAACATATAGTGAAAATTTCAGCTAATTTGAATGTACCTGAGCTAAGATCAAATCTTGAAGCGGAGAGGAACCTTAAACGAACATTGAGTAGAGAATCATAAAACAAATAATAAAAATAATTGATAATATTAAACATCATGAAATACTTTAGGAACTGATATTTTATGATAGTTTGAAAGTTGTCGGAAAAAGTCCTTTAGTGTCTAGATTACATTCAAAATTAGCTCGAAAAAGTGTGCTGGGTTCATTTGTTTATTCCAATGCTGAACTTGAAGTGTTTCATAGCTTATTGCAGTGTTGTAATCGATAATGATAAACAGCAGATCAAGCTCAGTCCAATAGAGGATTCTGCACTCGGAGCTCTGAGTTTTTAAAGATTTTATTAAAAAAGTTGATCATAGAACCTTTTTTCTGCAAATCAAACATTTTTTTACTGATGTCAAACGCTATTTTTTATAAGGAAACATGTGTGAGCTGTTCTTTTAAATGAAAATTCATCAAGATGTGTTTAATACAATTTATCAACGTACTTTACTATCGAGTTGTGTTATAAAAACTAAACGAATGATTGTTTAGCGTTGTAATTTATCATAGATTCATTTTTAATTCTTCCAATTTATTACATATAATATATGGAAAAAAACGTTTGGAGCAATTTTTCTATCGATAGCTCTTGGTGATTATTTACTTATTGTACAAAGATAAAAGTTCCAGCTTAAGAAATAAGAGAGATATAAATGTGAGAATATCAATAACGTTTATCTAACACATTTTTTGCCCTTGTTGAAAAAGCTCTGTACAATATGTTTGTCTAATTCTCGGCCACATAAAGCTATCTGAAGAGAAACAAAGATAGTTAGTCTAGAACAAACATTTTATATTCTTTCTAACGATATGTTGAAATTTTTTTTCTTACTTATAATTGGCTCATGAAGAGCAAATTCTTGGAGGAAGTAAAAGCGGTGTTTGTACAAAACGCCCTATCAACAGATGTTAGAAGATATGTTTGTGCTTGTTTTTCAAACAACCAGATATCATTGAGAAGAATGAAAAGTAATTAATTAGAGTCAAAATTTGAAGGTTTTTCTACATGTACTTTTAGAATTTTTTTTTCTGATTTAAGCCTGATCAGTTGCGAGTATAAGAATTTAACTAATAATATTTGGTCAACTTAATAATTATAATTGTTAATAGTGTTGTTATCTATGTTTAACTACAATCTAAATTTGTTTTAGATTCAGTTCAAATCATTGTTCCTCTTTCTATTCAATTGAATTCAGTCTTCGAACGATGCTTGCCATGTCAAGGTAACAACTTTTCGACTATTGATATGACTTTAATCGTTTGATCATCTTTCAAACGACAGAGTTTTTACGAATTCAAAATTCATTGATCCATTGTAACTCATTTCGACATGTACAAAAAAAACATTTTATTATTGTCCTAAATTGAAGAAAAAAAGGAATGCTCTATCATGAATTTGATCCATTGTTGTTATCAGTATTTGAGAGATTAACTGCTGTTTGTCTTGAAGAAACCATATTCAACATAGTAGTTCAAGGATAAAGTTTCATAGAGACTCATGTACAATAGAAGGCAAAATATATTTTTTCAAATCAAATTAGCTTAATCTCATCACTTCATCATTGTCATATGATACTGCCTCATAGAAAACTATGTCTCTTTCAAGTGAAACAAAGATTACATATATACTAAACTTGAAAGCTGAATTCAATTCAAGTTTGAAGTTTAACTCTCTGTGATGGAGACCACTGATGGTGTCATAGTAACATGTGCATAGTACATCTTTCTTGTAAAGAATACCGAATAATAGAATAGTTGAAACTTGAATTGATTTCGATTTTCACCTTTGACAATAGTGAACAGTTATAAATTGATAAAATAGCAGTAAGCAGCTTTTGCTTTTTCAGAATTTTTTTTTGTATCTGTACATTCAATTTCTCTTTATTGTATAGTTACACATGGCCATTTTGGTTGACATTTTGTTGTTGGTATTGTGTGGCATTAACTGGAGGTAAAATATCGTTTTTAGTCGATCCATCAAGCTCAGGAGGAGATGTATCATCGAAACTCAAAGGTATGTTGTATTTTTCTTGTTATATATTTTAAATTAATTATATTCTAAAATAGATATTTCATATTTTCTTTCGGAGAATCGATGTTTAGAATAAATTTCATTGATGATCTTCTACTAATCTAAGATTAAATTGTAATACTGTTAGTTTTTGGCGATACTTTTTTAAATTAAATATTCAATTCGAATTCATGATTATTTCAGTACTGATATGAAATGACTCTACATAGTAGAAATCAAAAATAACTATAAATAATAATCTGTATACTTGATTACTCGTGAAAGTCCAAATTATTTTTTTTTGTCTAATAATCTTGATAGAAAATTGGAAATAACTCAATTTAATGTAACTTTTAGTTCTACTTTGTATGGATGAGATGAAAAATCAAGATGAGACTGATATTGACTGTGGTGGTATTTCGTGTCCTAAATGTGAAGGTATGAGGAGTTGTAAAGTTAATTGTGATTGTATCAGTGGCATTTGCAAAGACAACATGTGTGCTCGTGAGTATACAATTTTTGCAAGTTCTAAGTTTGACAAGTTCTGTCATTTTAGCTTCTGCTTCATGTCAAGACAAAGTACGAAATCAAGATGAGACTGATATTGATTGTGGTGGTAGTAAATGTCAAAAATGTGAAGATTCAAAGATTTGTAAAGATAACTGTGATTGCGCTAGTGGCATTTGTACCAGCAATAAAATTTGTGGTGGTAAGTTTTTCATCATTGAGAATGTCAAATATCATCATTGGCTGTACCTTCAGTTATTTGAATGATGTGAAAAGTCAAGGACAAATTTGATGAGAAAGACGCGAATAAAACCAATTTAAAATTTGTTGAGAGAAGGATTTGCAATGATTCATAACAGTGTAATGTAAGAACTTTTACGCACATTAAAAAACTATAGAATAATGAATGTTTAAAGGGTTCATGAAAGTACAATATATAACAAAACTCTTTTCTACCATTTATGAAAACTTCGTAAACTCTTTGACAAATCGCATACAAGGGACATACAAAGTAGTTTATCAACTTCCAATACTCGTCATAAAATGTTTAGGAAAGGATGCATCAGTTGCATAAGCCCATTCATATAATCATCGAAAGTTTTTCTGGAAAGATAAATGAAAAAACTATATACTCGAACATAACGTTTAGAAAGAATATCTAGACGAGTTCATGAGCATCATCAATGGACTTCACAGTTCATAAAATCGCATCAACGATCATCGTAAGGATTAATGAAAAAGTTTATGAAGGTATTCTCAATCACTATTAGACTACGGAAAGAAAAAGAGAAATGAATTAAATGAAATAGTTCTAATCTATTGTTCGTGATATATTCTCAATGAGGACAAGAAATAGAAAAAAGAAAATAAGAATTAAATGATATGATTTAACTTATTCCTACGAATAGATTTCGAATGACTTTTCACCTAAAAAACCGAAAAAAAAGTAAAAGATATTGAACGAAATACTTTAAAACTATTTCGCATAATAGATTCTTAATGAGTACTAGGACAACGAAAGAAAGAAAAGAAAAAAAGATGTAGAAGATAATAATTTTTATCTACTTCTCGTCGTAGGCTCTTTGTAACTATGAAGATAACGAAATATGAAGAAGAAAGACGAATCGAACAAAAAAGTTTTATCCTATTTCTCAAAACAAAATCTGAATGACCACCATCAGGATCGCGAGGTGAGGAAGGAAAAAAAGAATTAAAGTAAATAGTTTTATTATATGTTTCATAGTTCTTTTTAAGAAAACTTACATGAGATCATCGAGGATCATCTAAGTTACTAAAGTACTCGTAAAAATTCAAATTTTTGACTTAATGTTCTCGTACTATTCTACATCATCGAAAATCGCTAAATCCAAATTTTTAGCGCATTTTGCTGAACTATTAAAAAGTTAGTCCAATTTTACTGTCGAGCACTCACTAGGATATTTGGAGAATATGATAAAAAATCATCACTATAAGGTTGGATCTTTTACAATGACAAAAATTAACGAAACTTTTTGTGCAATACACTAAATGGTAAAGCATCGAACGCTGGAAAAAAAAATTACCTATTTACATACTATATTTACATAGACTAATACAGAATTATTTACTAAATCCTATCTAAGATCGACTATTTTTACATATGTCGTACAACTTTCTCTCCTCTATAAAGTGCTAACAAAATATCCCAAAAAAATTTTGAATCGTGCCCAAACAAGGCTTACATTACTGTCATAGTTAGTAGTTTTTGGTGGTTTTTCAATTATAGCTACAACTTCTACAACAGCAGCTACAACTTCCACAACAGCAGCTACAACTACAACTACAGGTCAGTTATCTGTTTGTTCTATATGGATATATGTGTTGGACTGCATATGCAGATGTAACATGATTATAATGACTCGACGGAAACTCCGCGTTATTGAAAGCGAGTGATTTGTAAGCTACATTGAAACTTCTCAGAATAAAACATACCACATGCATAGTTGAATTGACAAAATTTTTCTATTAATATGAAGCAAATGTTGAGATATTAAGTGTTTCGAATTTTGACTATATTTTCGTAGTGAGCAAGTTCGAACGATCAGTAACGGAGTGGATGTGAAATTGATTAACCAGAATATGTGCTTGGAAAGAAGTTATTGTAAACGTTAGTTAAAAACTATTTTTAAGACTTAATTTCTATCTGAGTAACATAGGATTGAAGCCAAACTGGCAAATCGTTACCGATCCGATCCGTTTAAACTTTTCAAACTGATTCATTTTTATCGATTTTCGCCGGTTTTTATCACTTTTTAGAATACTGGAACTCTTATGTTTTTTCTCGTTTTTTTTTATTGATTTTCGTGATTTCAGTGTCCGCGAAAAATGTATTCAAAACTTCAAGCCGATAAATTTGTAGTTATGATCGATATTTCAGCTCCCGATTGTAATATAAGAATTCTCACCGTACAATCAGTGATTTCACAGCACACTCAATATGTTGATGATGATTAAGAAAAATGACTTATTGATTGCGAGTCTAAACTAGAAAATTTTTCATCTCAAAATTGCTACGTCACAGAGTGGACTGTTTTTGACTGATTATCAGTAACTCTTAGTGGTTAAAAGGCCTAGAAGTATCTTCTTATTGCATATATAATAAAAGATTTCGTTTTAATGTGAAAGAATTCCGTCTACTACTCTCATGCAAGTTTAAAGCAAGCTTAGGCGTTAATAAAAATAAATTTAAAGTCATAGATTTTATTTTAAAATCAAACATTGTGCCTCATTCCGTGATTCTATTGATAATAGTGGTTGACGGATGGAATTGATTCAAGTGTGAGTATCACTTTTTTTTTAAAACTTTTTCAATACAACTAAAAAAAGGTGGTTCTCAATTTTAGGTACGTTTGTTTAGAATTTTAAGAAAACATTAAACTTATCACTTTTCATAAAGCAATCATATATTCATTGAGTAAAAATAGACACAATTATTGTCTCATATCGCTTGTTGTAAGTGGAGAACGAGAAGTTTTGAAACAATTTCTATTTTGTTTCTTGATATTAGCGTACACAAAACCTTTCGGACTAAATAAACAATATTATTATAATATATGTCAATTTTTATGAGTTTCACTCTATCTCTATGTGGAGGTGTACTAGTAAACTATTTGTCAGAAAAAGAAAATTCAGCCGGTTTTAGGTCTACAATAGCATGATACTGCCACAATTCTCAGAAACAGACAAAAACGAGACAGAGTTTTAACTAACTAGATAAGAGTTTGAGAGATTATTTCGATTTCACATAAGTGAAAATTGAATAAATGATTTCCAAGCGATTTTGAGAAGACTTAGATACTTAGATTAACATTTCAGTCTACAGACTTACTAGAATCTCGAAGAAAAGCACAGATGTTTCAGTCCATTGTGTGAACACTCTCAACTGAGAAAACGATCGCAATATTTTCTCATGTTCAGTATAAAAAACATTAGAAACCAGTCAGATTTGGGTGCAATCTATGTATACTCACAGTAAAGAAAAAATTTTCTAGAAACTTTTGAATCTCAACTAATTGGGAAAGATAAGAAATCATCTCATCTTAAGATCGAACACAATGGAAGAGTGTTTAGATCTGTTTCAATTTAAATTAACCTAGGTCAATAAATACTAACAGATCTCGTTGAAAATAAAATCTTTCTGGCATAGTTTCGATCGATTTCGCTAATGTTCGTGCAAAAAGACTTGAAAATAATAGGAGAAAATCAGAAATTGATCAAATATTGATGAAAATGAGAAAGCATCGATCTGATTACTGATTGCATCTGAGGAAATGTTGAACCAAAATCTAGTAGAATTTAGATCAATCATTTTCATTATGGAGAATGGTGAAGAAAAACCTATTAGATCCAGAAGAGAATTAGAGAAGTTAGGAATGAAATGCGTCGAATGTTGTAGTATCTAGATAAAAAAAAATGAACATCAAAGTCTAATTATTATTATTAGTAGTACCTAGAACTGGTGACGAGTAGTGTGAAATCTATCTTATTGTACAAGTATATGTACCAGCTGCCAACTATATTTGATAATATCATAATATTTCTAACAGTCATATAACTATGATAAGTCATCGTTGCTGATACGATGCCTCTTCGAATTACAATATTATTTCTATATAATTCCAAGATTGTTTGGCAAACTTGCACTTGAAGATTATTCGAACTGAAAGTAACTATGATGAAAAAGACATCAGTTTTTCTACCAACATAGTTCTCCTTGTATCTAAACATCTGTAGAGTTGCATGCTGAGATAATTGAATTTATAAGTAAGGGCTAGTTTAATTTCCCAAGACATTGTCAGTAGGAAGTTTACGTATAAATAGTTTTTATTGTTTCTGTAGACAGAAAACCCATAATTCTACCTTTTAGGAGATATAACCACGATCCACAAATTCGCAATTCAAGAAAATCAACGAAATTCTAGAAAATCAAGAAATTCAAGAAATTCAAGCAATTCAAGAAATTCAAGGAAAGGAACAAGTGATGTAACACAGTGAGTTATAAGGTTGCGATGGAATTCAAGGAATTCAAGCAAATCAAGCAATTCAAGAAATTCAAACGATTCAAGAAATTCAAGGAAAGGAACAAGTGATGTAACACAATGAGGTATAAGGTTGGAATGTGACGGAATTCAAGGAATTCAAGAAAATCAAGCAATTCAAGAAATTCAAGGAATTCAAGGAAAGAAACAAGTGATATAATGCAATAAGTTATAAGGTTGGGATGTGATGGAATTCAAGAAAATCAAGCAATCCAAGAAATTCAAGAAATTCAAGGAAAGGAACAAGTGATATAACACAATCAGTTATAAGGTTGGAATATGCTCGAATTCAAGGAATTCAAGAAAATCAAGCAATTCAAGAAATTCAAGGAA